GCAGAATAGAATTTTCTTTTGAAGCCTTTGACTACTAGAAGAAAAAGGTAGCCCTTGACCTTAGTTCTTAGTTTACCCTAATGTTCAGGCTGGCACTTCCTCATTTATACTCTATTTGCTTTTCTAAATCTGTCTTTCCTTCTTGTTCCTCTCCTCTCTGTCCTGAGTACCTGGATCCAAACCGTCTTACATCATTGCTGGGCTTCACCTTGACCATTCTCTCGGTGATGATACCCACTTAAGCACAGATAAAAAATATCACATATACCTGAAATGTACGAGTTGCCTTGTGCCCACAGCAGAGATGGGTTCACTCCCTACGTGAAGGGTGGGCATGAAGCGGCTTTCAGATTTAATCCTCCAAAGTAGTGAAGTCAGGAAGCCGTCTTCACAGCAAGCCATGTGGGATCTTTAAGCCACACCGGTGGTCTACTCCTGAGCCGCTGGGCTGTCCAACTTGCTATTGCTGTTGGGAAAACCCAGCAATGAAATGACTGAGTCACAAGAATGTGAATCCCCTCTCTGCAGGGGGGGGGGTCTATTACAAGCAGGGTACATAGCTGAGGGACTGAGGGACTGTGGGTTCAGGATATGGAGCTGGGCTGCCTGGAGTTGAATCCCAGCTTGACCATGTCCTAGGTAAGTTACTTCATCTCTCTGTGCCTCCCTGTCCTCTGTAAAATGTGCCAAATGACCGTACTTACTTACGGGTGGCTGTGAGGATTCAGTGCATTAATACACAGAGAGCTTAGGCAGGTGCCTAGCAGGAGCAGGCACCCGGCGTTGGCCCATGTTGACGTTACACCATCTTACATTTTACAAAGAGGCCAAGTGAACTGTCAGGATCACACATCTTGTCTGTGGTGGACCCTGAACTCTGATCCCCTGTGCATCAGTTCCCAAGGTTCCTGGCCTTAAGACCCCTTGTAGGGGTGCCTGGGTGGCTCAGTGGGTTAAAGCCTCTGCCTTCGGCTCAGGTCATGATCCCAGGGTCCTGGGATCGAGCCCCACATCAGGCTCTCTGCTCAGCAGGGAGGCTGCTTCCTCCTCTCTCTCTTCCTGCCTCTCTGTCTACTTGTGATCTCTCTCTCTCTCTCTCTCTCTCTGTCAAATAAATAAATAAAACCTTTAAAAAAAAAAAGACCCCTTGTAGTCTTAAATAAAAGTACTGACATCAAAGAGATTTTATATTCCTGGACTGTATCTCTTGATATGGTTTATGTTATTGATATAAATTGAAGCAAAACAATTTTAAGTATCACTACTGTTAACACAAATGCCACTTTTAATGAAACGTAATTATTTTCCAAAACAAATGGAGAATGGCAATTGCTTTGCAGTTTTGCAAAGCTTTTTAATATTTGGCTTAGTGGACGATGATCCTGGACTCTCATATCTGCTTCTGCGTTCTCTTGGTTGCGGTGTCTTATTTTAGTTGAAGAAAACCCAGCCTTGTCACTCCAGACAGAATTCTTAGGTGTGGAGAAGTTATGATCATAGCACCTTCTCTCTCTCTCTCTCTTTTTTTAAGATTTTATTTCTTTGAGAGCCCATATGTGCTAGTGTGCACGAGTTGGGGGAGGGGCAGAGGGAAAGGGAGCAGCAGACTCTCTGCTGAGCAGGGAGCCTGAGATCATGAAGTCAGATGCTTAACCAGCTGAGCCACCCAGGTACCCCCATAGCACTTCCTTCATCACAAGCTTCTTCTGAGAATTGGATGAGAGATGAGAAAGTAGAGGGGAAAGTTCTAGGAGAAATGAGGGCCACCCAAGTATCGGCCAATGTTACAGTAGTCACAGGGGCAGACCTAAGCAGCACAGACAAAGCAGGACTCAGGGAGAGGGGGCAGAAGGAAGTGCACGCGGGCACTGTGGCACGGGACTTGGAAACCAGCATTGTGCGCATAAAGGGAGCAATCGTGAGGACCTGGAAGGAAGAACTATTCTCCCCCACACAGCAGATTGCACTAAGCTCCTGGGAGATAAACCCACTTCTCTCCAGCAGGGAGTGGTACATAGAGTACAATTGGCCATTCTTACAATGTGGGCACTGAATGGTAGAAATGCAAGAGAAAAGGTAAAACTATGTACTATTTGGATTAAGGATAAATCCGCTTGCGAACAATTGCAAAGGCTGAAGTTGGGGGGAAATCTCTGAATACTTCTTGCAAAACAAAACCCTTGTATAATTTGCTTCTTTCTTCCGCCTTCTCACCCCTTCTAAAGAAAGGTGATTTTATTTCCTTCTAAGCCTGGTCACACGTTGCCACTCTGAATTACCATCTCCAGTTTGGCAGAGGCCCAGGGACGGCCTCCTAGCAGGTCACTCGGGCCAGTACTGTGCTTTCCGGAGAGTAACAACTCCAACCCATCCAAGAGGGTCAACAGAGCTGGGTTGTCAGTCTTCTCGAGGTTTGCCAGCCTCTCCAGGTTGGCCGCTCTCGGTGATCAGAGTGGTCAGAAGTGGTTTCTGCAGGAGCTAAGCCATTTACCTTTATACATTCTGTTCATTTTCTCTCCTGAATTTACCAGAAGAGATGAACATTCAGATAGTTGGGGGATGGATGGGAGTATCTCAGCCGACTCCTTCCTTCTTGGGCCTGCTGGGAGGACTGCATTGGCAGACAGGCTGGAAAGATCTGTAACTCAGGATGAAGAGGAACAAGCTCTTGAGATTAAAGGACGATTTATTGGTGGACTCCCTGTGTTTTTCCTTTCGGCAGCCTGTCCTCTGTCTTCTCTCGCCCTCCTTGAGGTGACTAAGCAGGCTGGGTGTCCTCTGGGGCCCCTTGTTTCTTCCGTACTGTTAGCCAGACGTGCTGACTCTTGCACATGGAGGGGTGGGGGATTTGAATGAAAGGCCCGCTGGTGGGAATCATGTGACTTCATGGTCCGCGGCATTGCTGAGGCCACCCATTGAGTATGTGTCTAGCACGAGGCTCTGTCAGCAAGAGGTGCCTGCCGTCATCCCAGGAAGCCCTAACCCTGCAATTTAAGACATGTGCTTGTACCTCCCTGCCCCCGGGCACGTAGGAAGACCATCCCATTGGACCAAGGTGACTCGTAAGTGATCATGAGATAGTGTGCTTGGAGAAATTGAACCTGTAAGGAAAGCGAAATGGGAATTTGAATGGGGATATTCAGGAGGCATCCCGCTTGGTTTTCAGCTCAACATGATTTAGATGACCACTATGACCAGGCTTTTGGAGTTTTCATTTCTTGTCCTAATAATAAACACAAAATCTTACCAAAGAGGCTAAACATTAAAGATGCTCTTCCCATAGACCAATCTCTCTCTCTGACATCTAAAAATGACATGACTATTAACATATAAGGTTGTTTAAGCCATTTTTGATTGAGCAGCTTTATTCCTCTGAGTAGTTACACCATTGGAGCAAGAGATGGTACTTACCAAATGAGCTCTCTGAGTTTTTTATTTTTGTGTCTGGAAGGAGGGGGTATTGTAATAAAGAATTTTTTTTTCCTCCTCTTTCCCCCCCAACTGATTTTGCTCTTTATCTACTTTTATAACCCCTTTCCACACCCTGAATTTTTTCTATTTATTTATAATTTACATCCTGCTTACTTATATAAAGTACATGAGGTTGCTTATAATATTATAACACACGAGTTGGGAGAGTGAAGAAAAACACATTAGCGGGGGAGAGAGCATTATAGCAGGAATCTGAGCTGGGTGTTTACCACAGCTGAGCCCTGAATGGGAATCTAAGCCTTCTAGAGGCAAAAACAGAAAGCACAGTGTGTCAGGTTATGGAGTTCCTTTTAAAATCAGAAGAGCACATGGGCTAAACCATTTGTAGATGATAAACCATTCGTAGATGACCTGCTTCTGGGTCGGGGTTTCGTAAGTAGCAGAGCAGCTCCCTCGCTGCGATCTATTGAAAGTCAGCCTTCGACACAAGGGTTTGTTAAAAAAAAAAAAAAAAAAAAAAAAGAAGAGCACATGGGCTTTTCTGTGCTGGGCATTGCCCGTGTCTCTCGAGGATGAGGCTCAGCATACCCCTGCTGTCGCTCCCTCCCCACTGCAAAACCCTGTGAGCTCTGCCCAAAACGTATAGGAAAACCACTGATAGACCCAGGGCTCCCAGCTGTTGGGAAGCTGAACCTCTTGGTTCCTTCCTGAAACTGGTTTTACTGGAGTTGGTCCAAAGGTGACAGAGACCACTCAGGGCTAGCCTCTAAGTCAGGACTAGCCCAGACTTTTATCCTGCAGACCTGAGTATGATGGGACAGACCTCTGGTGGGAAGTGGGGTGAAATCAAGGGGATACCCTCTGAGTAACTTCATCAGCCCAGAAAGGGGAGTCCTAACTTTCAGTCAGGACTAGGAACCTCTTTTCTGGGTTAGGGGCCATGTGGGACCTCCCTCAAAACCCCTGGCAAGTGCCAGTGGTGTTCGAGTCCATCTGAAGAATGAGAAAATGCGTGGTATTTCTCTGAATACCAGTGTCGATAGATATGGATTTTTGGAAGAGAGTGTTGTCAGGGCAGAAGCAGTAAGTAGGAGGCTGTGCTGTCCACCACGATACCCACCAGCCACGTGTGGCTACTGAGCACTCAAGATGTGGCCAAGTCCACATCGAAATGTGCCAAAAGTATAAAACCTACACCACGTTGCAAATACTGTGGGAGAAAGACTGAAAGAGCTCCATAGTGACAGTGTAACGTAAGATTTCTCAACACATTGTACTGATCCCCTGTGGAAAGGACAATATATTGAATTTCTTGTGTTAAATAAAATATATTACTGAAATTAACTTTACTTGTTTCTTTCTACTTTTAATGTGGCCACTTGAAAATTTAAATTAAATATGTGGCTCAGGTGGTCTTTCTATTGGACAGCTCCGGTCTAAATACCTAGAACGTTTCCCTAAATATCTGATCACGGCAGATACTCCAAATATCGAAGCACTTTTCTGAGGAGTGAAATTCCACGATGTCCTCTAACTCCTGTGTTCTCTCTCTGGTTCTCTCTCAACAGATACGGCTCCCTACATAGCATGTCCAGGACTCCGTTAATCACCAATTCCTTTATTTTTTGTTTCCCCTCCTACATGGTTTCCATTTTCTTTTACACGTGCTTACCCCAGCCATCTGCAGTACACTGGTTTCAGATATTTGAGCTGTGTAGAATCTCTGTGTACAGACGTGTGCTTGGACTTCTCGCTTCCTGAGAAACCTGAAGGGGCCAATCCCAGAAGATCCACTCAATCCTGGGAACGAGTGCCAGGGCCTAGGCTATTGGGTGGTCTCTGGGCCATCCTGGAGGCTCCTTCCTCCGCAGTCTGCCATCCCAGCAAATGCCCTAACGTGCCATTCCCTGGGACGGGTGGGAGGTGTTGGAGGGGTTTGGGGGGGCGTTGGGAGGGGGAATAGCAACCAAGTGCCATGGAGGCAGGGGGTCATGCTCCGTTGCAACTGTCTGGTTTCCTGCAAAACACATTCCTTTATATTTTTAGGGAACAAAAAAAGTGCTGCTACAAGGTTCAAAATTGTCATTCTGAACACTTTTCCGAAACAAATTACCCCAAAGAAGCATTTTGAATACCCCCGTCACGTCTTTGGAGCTGTAAAAGACACCTTTTTGTAGGGCACCTGTTAAAATGCAAAGCAAATTTCTCCGAGGCAGAAAAACAATCTGACAGTAGCAATGTAGAATTTGTTCACTCAAACACGTCTAGGTAAATGCAAAAAGTCATCAAATCCACCAGAGCTGCTTGCTACTAAACCTGCAGCGACTAGTCTCAGCCAGCCCAGTTTGAACAGCCTTCCTTCAGAAGTGTTGAAAATGCTGCGAAGTTGGATGATTGGAATTGGGGTGACCCGCCCCTCCTGGGGTCCTCCTCCCTGATCCTACCTGAGCAGGCACGCTGGGGGATGGCCTCTTGCCTCTCACCATAGGGAACCATCTTAAGCCTCAAGGGGGTACCGCCCAGTGAAATCCAGGATCAATTCCAGCGGTTGGTCGGAAAAGGAAGCCCTGGGGCGGGGTAGTGACTGACAACTTTTTGTGCCTATGAATAAGTTGCTATTTTAACCCTTCATTGCTGAATGTTTATTTGACTTCTCTCTTCGGCATCAGATAGATTTCATCTTGGCAAGAATGTGAAGAAATCAGTATGGATGGATTTTTTTTTTTTTTTTTTTTTACATTTAACTATTGGTTTTTTTCAACATACAAATTTAAAAGCTGAATCAACTCTTTCTTCCAGCTAAGGATTTTAAAAGGATTGATTTCCAAGTAGGAAAGTCTTCAGGGAAGCTGACAAGGATTCAATTAACTTGGTCTTGTGTGCTGCTACTAGTTTTGACAAATTTGAGGTTAAGTCCGTGACAACCAGACCAATGTCCGTGAAAGCACCCATCCCATCTCGGTGCCTGCCCAAGCTGAGGGAGCGGGCACTGTCCCTGCTGCTGTCACCACTGGAATGAAGTGTAGGCCGGGGAGACCTCGAGCTTTCTCTTCACTGTATGAGTTCTAGTTAGAGAGTGAGTGTGTGTGCGTGTGCGTGTGTGTGCGTGTGTAAAGCACTAAGGATTCTGAATCAATTTCCACACTTTTCTTGTATAAAATTAACCCGACACAGCAAAGCTGCTTTGACTTAATTTATTTGTTAAACGTTGCACTTTGTTTATATGTGTTTTGTTTTGGTGGGGAGGAGAGTAAGGAGAAAGAAGATCAATTCTACTGAAGTATTTATTTCGCAAAGTTGATGATTTTGCATTCATTTACACTTTAAAAATTCTTCTTTTGATTTTCATAAATTGCCAGTACTTGCCCAATACAGTTGCTCCATGGTGATTTGCAGTCTGGTAGAAGGGTCCTTGTAGGGCAGGTTTTGCCAACTGTATCAGGTAATAATGTATGCCATAGATTATCATCTTGCTGTGAATACGTTTGGCTCTGATTTTAGAAGCTAAAACATTGGTCTTGGAGAGGATTGCCAGTTAATAGTTGTCACACCGCTACTGTCTATTATGCAACTATTATGTGCAGAAATTGAACAAAGGGCAATAATTCTTTTTCGGGGCTCTCTTGTTATTAGATTGTTTTAAAATCTCCCCAAAGTAACTTTTCCCTGGGCACCCCTTTTCTATTTCTAAAGAGTTGCTTGGCCCTTTCATGTTTCAAAAAGACCCACACGTTTCACTTGTCGTAACATATTTCTTGATCTCCACAAGGAACTCACAAAATTCACACGACTTTTATTCACAGAGAAAGTTGGCTTTGATGTCCCTAAAAGATAATTATGCTACTTGCTGATCAGCCAGTCAGTTCACCTAGCTTCAATCTTTGTAGGACCTCAAAACTAACTTTCCTTCACTTGATTAAAAGGTAGGCGGATGATTGGAATGGATTATACAGCATATTCAAGTGGATCCCTAAATATTACTTTATATGATAAACTAAGACCAGGACCATTTCCTCTATAGGCCACTTTTTAAAAAGCCACATTTATGCAACTTTTTCATTTTAAAAACATTCTTACTCCTTTACATTTGTACTCTAACTATAAAACCCACACTTCTGAGTGACTGAGCCTATGATTATATTTTTGATTGTATGCTTATTTTTTGTGGGAGAGAGAGAATGTATGTTTCTCCTCTGTGAATAATTTTGTATCTCATGCTACTTCTTGAAAGTTTACTTTTTGATGCTATAAGGGAATAGCCAGATGATTTATACAAATAATCTCTACCTGCAGGATGGTGGATTATTAAATTAGAGAAATGCTGTTTGGAATATCAACGTTCATGGTTGGATTCAACTTAACCAATTGCATTTTTATAATGTAGTATATTCCTTCATTGACTGTATTATCAATTCATAGAGTGATTTTAAAACTTAAGAAAAAGATATATGTTTGGAGACTAAAATATATTAATGCCAAATGTGTTTTGGTCAGTTACTAGAGAATTCTGTATAAATGCATCATCTCTTCAAATGCTGTACAGTTTGCTTGTTTGGCAGGTAGTAGAATAAGTGTGGAGTAAGACTTAAAGGAAATAGTATCATGTGATTACAAAAATTAGAATTTATAGAAATATTGGGATAAACGAAGAAATAAAAATCTTTGTCTAGAATGTAGCATCTAGTGACTTTTGATGCCCTAACTTCACATGAAGGAGTGATATTTCTGTCTAAGGCCAGACCAAGCCATCACCAAGACTCATGGGGGAATTATCAGTCCTCTTTTCCTAGAGGAGTAACTGAAAGCCAATAAAAGTCTTAACAGTCCCCTCTTTGAAGTGTATTTATGTTTTTTTTTTTTTTTTTTTTTTTTTTTTTTTTAGCAGGGCAGAAGACATTTAGAGTCTGGCTATATGACATATTGGGGAAGTTTTTCACTGGAAGGGGGCAGGGGGAGGATTTCACTTTATTGTCTAACCCTTAATATCTTTCATGAGCTAAAGGAACCATCATAGTCTAGAATGGTTTTATATAACACTAACAATTTAGCCTTTCTTAAAGTATTGAACAAGGGCCAGGTAACTGCCAAAGGAAGCCTTGCTCCATGAAGTCTGCTTACACATTTACATCTCGTGTACCAGTTTTAAAGACTTTTTTCATCATGTGCAGCTATAAGGGGAATAGGGCATTCTGTAGGATTATACATGTCTAGTTTGTAAAGTATGTAATGTGTACTGCAGAGGTGTGTTCTCTGGGCTTTATGTATCTGTACAGTAGCTTTCATTAAAAAAAATTGTGGACAAACTTGTTTTGGTGGTTTGAGGGGGAAAATGGCCATTTATACCAGATAATGATGCTGTAATATATAGTACATGTAACAAAAGATCTGGAAGTAACCCTCCCCTGGCCCGTGGAAAATTTTGGTTATCCTCTAGGTTCTAAAATGAAGATGTATGGATACTCTGGCAGACTGCATGTTGTATAATTTGAAAAATACTAAAAGTGGAAAATAAAACTGAGTTAAACTTTGTCTGGTCTGTTTTTTCTTGAGTCATCCTAAAGGCATTCTCATTGAAGGCCTCAAGGCCAGTGTCAGGTAGAACCATTGTTGGCCTGAAAAGAAGAGTTCATTTCAGTAGACAGCCACTCAGCCTCAAAGCATAAGTAAAGTCAGCCTTAACCTTCCTGCCTCCCCCTTGGCTCGAATATCTGTTTTTATTTATTTTTTAGTGAGGAATCAGAAAACGTGACATTTGTTCCTTCGGCACTGAAATGAGAGCAACTGATATAAATAAGTGTCTTAAACTTTTTTTCTAAGGTAAGGTTGAGATGAAGGTCAGCAGACCAGGGTAATAGCTGAATTTCTTCTTGTCCGAGTAAGGTCCTTATTCCAATAATACTTTAGCATAGTGACTTTCTTCAGCTAATGTGTTGGAGTCCTGTCCATGTTGAATGTTGGAAGATTATTGGTATCTTTTGAGAAGGGTTGGCATGTTCGTGTTCCTGTTTAACCTACCGAGAGTATTAACGTATAGGTCTGAGATCTTAGGAGAGGACGTTGGAATGTGAAGCCTTTGGAGAATAATGAAAGGCAGGCTGCAGGATGATTAGATCTGCTCCGAGCAAGGAGACTACTATAGCTCGGGTCACTGGAACCCTGTGGCCACACGGGCATTGTGTATGAGAAATACCCTCATTCGTGGTTTACTTAATGTTGCGTGAGAGCCAGACAGTAAACTGCTTTAATCAATTAAAAACGGGAAGGATGGATCCCAGGTAAACGTTTGGTAAGTGGAATTGAGGGCATGGCAAATGATGTGCTTTTATGATGTCTTACCCATCTTGCTTGAAATTGTGATTCTCCAAAGAACTCAGAGGAGGCCTTTTTCCAGATATCAGAGTTGTTAAAGGTGACTTATGTAGTAAAATTTTAGACGTGGATAATATTTAGGCCGAAGCTGTGTTTTTAAGATGAGAAGGAAGTCCTCCGAAGGAACCCAATGACAAAGTGAATTTCAGCATCAGTGGGAAATGACCCCACAGGTCCCAGAAAGCAGGGGTTCTGTGATGCAGGAGGACTGCACAGACACCCACTGTTCCCTGGGTTCCTGTAAGTCTTTCTCAGCGTTTCCCATTCCATGGAGCTCTGATGCTTGGGCTATGCCTAGGAAGTACAGAGCCCATGAACATCTGTGGGAGAATGTGGAGCTAGAGCCATAGCCTGCAAAGGTAATTACGGATGACGTGTGTATTGGCGGGTTTAACTGTGGCATTGTGACAGACTACATCTTGTGATTTGTCTTCTGAACATAGTAAATGGAACAGAAGTAGGAGGCATCTCCAGGTGACACATCAAGTGAAAATGTGGGCTCATTTGACCAAAGGTATCCCGAGCCATGGGGTTTTTACTCTCCCTTTGGCGTTTCCTGTTTCCTC